TCCAGATGATATTTGCTTCTCTCAATGTAGTAGTATCGCATCAGTATCGCCGAAAAAAATTCCTGTGACCTCTAGTCGGTGTTCGGCATCTTCATCTCAGAGTAATAATATTCAACATATTACACCAGTAAAACCTGTACAAAGAAGCTCTCGAGTAGCGGTCAAGAAAATCAAAATTGGTTCACCATTTAAACCTAAATCAAATCGAGCAAAACTTGAACCTTTATCTGGTCAAAAACAGCTCAATCAGTTTGGATTTTCTTCTGTGAAAAAAGTGAAACGAGAAAAAATTATTCAGGAGGAAAGTTCAAATGACAGTGTTAAGATGGCAGACACAGGTATCAGCAAGAATATTGATAATATTGTAACTAGAATTAAACCAAAAGTGAATGGTTTGGGAGGAGATGAAAATAGTTTAGTGCATTCTAAAACTCAAAATTCTTTTCAGACGTCTTCAAAGGATAGCAATCGGAACATTGGTAAGTGAATCATTTGATTCTTCAGTGATTTATATTTTATGAATAAGTTTTCAATCCAAAATTTCAAAAGACCCTATTGATTGAGTCGTTTCTATGGGGACTTAGCTTCTTGAACTTGTATCAAAAGAACTAAATTAGATGAGCTCCTGAGGATGAAATACATTGTGTTTCATTGAGCCTTAGGAAGAATTGATTCGTTGAAAGTGATAGTTGACTAGTCATCTGCTGAAGCACAAGAGCCTTGGATGGATGATTTGCTGCAGCTTATATTGGAAAATAATCAGTTTTCTAATGATCTGATATGCAATTTGTTAATTTCAGTAAATAACCAACACAGTGTTCAAAAAAGACTAGACTTTACTAATGGTTTTCAAACTCCAGTGAAATCGTTTGAGTCTGGAAGATTAACCAGTGCGATTCTATCATAATAGACTTAACACCCAGCCTTAATACACCAATGTTATATCTCAATACACCATATTCTGTTAAACGCAAAGCTTTAACTCAACATGATGAATTACAACCAGTCAGGAAAAAAGCTAAAGTAAGTTTGTATCAGCATTGTTGCTTGTTGTAATGATTTATTGAACGCCTGGATTGTCTGAGCCGCTCAGCTTTCCAACTAACTGGTGACGTGGCCACTACCTAGTAACATTACATAGCGATAATGTCATTAGCTTTTTATATTGGTTTTATTCAGTGTTAATCCGATTTTCTCTTACATTTGACCAGTTAATTGCCAATATTCAGGGTGACTGAATGGTTGTTTCTATGTTTTATGTTATGTATGAAATAATAACTTAACTAAAATCTGATTGTAGTTTGGACCTGTAAAGTCTACATGGAATCCAAGTACAGTGTTACTTTCATATAAATCTCAGTCAGACTTACAGGTAGGTGGACAGTTGAATGATTTCATTCAAATTCAGTTTAGAATATTTTGATTATAACGCTGTGTGTTACTTTGTGCTTTCAAGACAGCTGTTGGTGCAAGTCGAGTTCGATGTATGAAAGACCTTTTGATTTAAGAAATCAAAGATTTAAGCAGAAGTGTTGGCACCTTTGTCCTGACTGAAATCTCTATCATTGCGCACTGCATGGCTCCTCTGTTAATCTTTTAATGCACGCATAATAGAAATGAAAATATGACTACCTTTCAAACTACAATTCAAATTTTAATTTCATCTGAAGGGTTAATACAGTTTTTGTGTTTTTGTAGAATATAGAAAATGAATCGAATATACAAGAAATACCAATGTCTATAGTAAATATTATTGAGACATGTATTGAAGATGAGTATTATATAGCAGCTCTAGATTTACTATCATCTAGTATAACTACTAAACATTATCTACCATCATCATTGTTATATAAAATAATGGTCAACATACTTCTGGTGAGTTACCTTTATTTGGAGAAGCTGTGGTAGATGATAGTACATCCCTTGTTTGTAACTTGTTATTTTGGCTTGATTTGGAAAAGTTTGGGTTTCTCAAATATCTTTCGTTTGGTTTTTCACCAAAACTTCAAAACAGGTCAAACAGACTGTTCAGTGCAAGCAAATTTAAATTCATTGTTGGTTGAATTGCTTTCTAAAAGCTGTTGATGACTTTTTTCAGGAGTCCCCAAATCTGGTGACAAAGAAAAAGTCTGTAGAAGTTTTAATGAATCACCTGTCATTACATCCTCCCAATAATCAACATTTACGTACTGTATATCACAATAGTTTTTATATTATTAATGAGGATATCAACACAGATAATAAAATATTCACCTTTATCACTACAGTTATAAAGTAAGTTCATCTGTCTATATATTGTGTTCAGATTGCTTTTGAACTGTGTCCTGTCATAGTTTGTACAGATATGGTTGAAGTTTGTGTTTCATTTAAAGATCCAAATACATTTAGCTATATTTGAAGAAAAAACATTTTTTGGAAAAACAAAACAGAACACTTCATGTTTATTTTAACCCAAATTAAGTATTATTAAAGATAATTTACTTTCTGGATAGGCCTGTATCAGATATCTTAAATTAAGAGGCATATATCGGATTATATTATATCCATGACCTAGTAATTTCTATAATTGGAGAATTATTATATTAGATCAGCCTTATTGGAGATAACAAGTGCAGATGAAGAACTATATAATAATAGAGAATTATTGAGATATATGATGACAGTTTTACAGGTGGATTTTAAACATTTCTTAAATAGGTCAGTATTTTTACTTCGCTCATTTGATCAGCCTTATAATTTACATACTCGTGAGATATATATATAAAACACTATAAAGCAAATTCATTTTAATATCCCTAATAATTGACATAATTGTGGGACTTAAAATTATCCGAAGATAAATTCATTACACTTGCGCAATAATTTACATCATAGTGAAATATAAAACACCACTGATTTCAATAGCCTTGTTCATTATACAAAACATTTGTTGTGAAGCCATTATTTCATTTCGAGATATTCAATTTATATCCCTTTCATTTCAAATTATACATTTTATTTTCATTGTAGATTACAGCATGGGGAATCAGGAAAGATAACTCATAGATCCTGTTTATTTATTAAGTTTCTATGGCAACCAGGTTATCAGATATTTTCTAACAAACGAACCAGGGAATTGTTAGAATATTATGAAGAATGTATTATGGTGTCAGGTGATTCTTTTGAAAAGGTATCAGTTCTTTCCTCATAATCTTCTCAAATTTGGTCCACTGAGACATTAATTTACTGGAAAAAAATCAATTATGATGTAAAATCCATGAACTGACCCATGATTGTTTTGTTTCCAGCTGATATTAGTAGAAGTTTTAACAGGGTTTATGAGTTTGATAGCACAAAGTTTAAAACTGAGTGAATGTGGATGGATAGTTAACACAAACCCTACTATTGGTGATAAATCAAGAAGTTTTATTGTTGATTTCAGTCAGAAGATTATAAGTATGTATCCATTATAATGTTTATTATGTTCTTAAGACAAAATTTGCACACAAAATATTTTTGAGAATTGACATACAGAAAGATATTTGTAAAAGAATATTTTTGTAGATTGTCATGTCTATATAATGTTATCATATTTGTAGATTGTCATCAAGAAGAAATCTATAATTGTAGATTGCCAATAAGCTATATGTTTTGTAATTGTAGATTGTCATATAGAAGAAAGTTATAATTATAGATTGCCGATAAGCTATATGTTTTGTAATTGTAGATTGTCATATAGAAGAAAGCTACAATTGTAGATTGCCAATAAGCTATATGTTTTGTAATTGTAGATTGTCATATGGAAGAAATCTATAATTGTAGATTGCCGATAAGCTATATGTTTTGTAATTGTAGATTGTCATATAGAAGAAAGCTATAATTGTAGATTGCCAATAAGCTATATGTTTTGTAATTGTAGATTGTCATATAGAAGAAAGCTATATATTAGAATCTGTATTACAATGGTTAAAACCATGCTGGTTCTGTCTAGGTGTTACTGTACAGTTATTAGCTATCTATGATGACTATTTATTAGTAGAAGGAATTGATATAACTTCAATATCATTGTCTAGGATAGTAAGTATTTTTCCTTATAATTCGGATTAGAAAAAATCCTTATCTACGAAATAAACCATTAATTTAGAGAACATTATATAGTAAATGTGCAACCTTTTTATGGAAATTACAATATGCTGGAACATAATAGCCAACCTAAAGTAAAAATGTTTTTGACAAATTTTTTTTTTTTTTCAGGTTACACAATATTTTTTTCTTCTACCAAAATTACGGAGTCAAAAACAACATGAACTGGTGATGAGTGTTAAGAAAAATAAGCCAGCACTGAGAACAAGGTAAGGTATGAATATTTTCAATACTGAGTATTGAATGTTTGAAATCCAAAGTCAGTGTAAAAATAAAACATCTACAAATCAAAGTTGTAAAATATTTTGTTCTAATAAACCTTATTTGTCTCTTAGTTCTCTTAAGTGAAAGACCATTTTAGGATATTTATAAAATATAGAAACAGCTTTATGGAACAACAATCACTGGTTAAAGTACATGCAATTTCCAAATGCATTTAAAGACTTGAGGTATGAAATGTTATTGACTATCTCCTATATCTTAAATACAATGATTGTTTCTCTGTACCAGGAACACTAACATACCACCAGTCAAGCAGATTGTACCTTCTACTACTATTACCAACATAGTGTCTGTTACTCCTAAAATACCCATACCGGATAAACAACTACTTAAAAAAGTCAACCATAGAAATATGAAAGGTTTGTTAAACTTTATCTATTGAATGCTTTAATGTTGAGGTTGACAATGTATTCAAGAAGGAAATCAGCAAGAATACATTATGTTTTCAGTAGTAACAATATCAAGCCTGTGTCAGCAAGTGATATTTGTACATATTTCTGTTAATTTCTTTTCAATCAACAATCATAATAAAAACTTCTTATCAAATTTAAAAATTGTAATATTTGAAAGATAATGTTAAGATATATGTGTTTTCAGGTGAAACACCATTACATATAGCTTGTATTAAGAATGATGTAAGAAGAGTCAAACAGTTACTAACAGTACCTGGTATGTATCAGTTATTGACGCAAATAATCAACATGACCCATTGAACAACACATTTAACATATAGTTTTATGTTGAAACAAATTGAAAATATCCAAGAGTTCAATAATATTTGGCATTTCTATAAACTGTCAATAGTATAGTTAATAGGGCTATAAGCTGACAATGCAACTAAAGTGGTTATTAAAATCGTTGAAATATCCTTTTAGAAGAGAAAATGCTAAAAGTTTGGTTTCCAAATTATGCTGGTACTGCGAAAATTACCTTGAAAGAGATGACAACTCAAGACTTACGTACCATACCAAACATGAATTTATATGTTATGATAATGATCTATGAATCTGTTTATATTATTCCAGGTATTAATGTGAATGCTGTAGATAACTATGGCTGGTCACCACTACATGAAGCATGTAATCATGGTCATATAGAGTGTGTGGAATTATTATTAAAATACTGTCCTGCTAAAACTGTTGATTCCTACTTTAGTCCAGGTAGTGTAGACTTCTTTAAGTTGTTTTGACCATTCTGACAGATATGGTCTTTGAACTATTGCTTCATGATGTCCTTGTATAACCTTTCCATATATTATCCATATACTCAGATCTAGGTTAAGTTTGAATTTGAGTTGTTGCCCCTGAACTACTTGATTTATGTCTTTAATCAGCAAGTTTATTTTTTAGTTGAAACTTATTGATGAGATCTTGGATGAATTTCTGAACTGCCAATGTTGACAATATTGTTAACCTGTACAAGCCATTGAATTTTGTGATATCAACCCAAGTTGTCAGTGAAGTGTCAAACGCTTTAAGTTATACCCTTTATTTTACTGTATATTACAGGTGGTATGAAATACCATAAAGTAGATTTACTAGCTAGTAATGTAGATGGTATAACACCGTTACATGATGCTGTAATGACTGGATGGACTGATATCTGTCAGTTATTACTCAAATATGGTGGTAGGTACTGCTTATCTATGAGTTACATTGTTTTGTGTATCATGCGGACTGATAGCAATGATTTGCAGGATTTTAATATACACTTAGCCTTCTGTAGTTTTTGAAATTTGTTTTATGAAATCACTATCTAAAAGCTACTAATTATATCTTCTCAGGTTTTGTGATACAAGATTACAATCCCTTTTAAGAGATATAGTCGTCTAGACATTGTATCTCTACCAGCTGATAGAGACGATTTCAGCTATTGATAATAATAACAAGATTCAGTTTGCAACATTCAGTTTCATTACCCTTCAGGTTATACTCTTTATGATAAACAGCATCAAATATATATTATAGGCACAGCTATATTAGAAGCTAAAACTAAAGCAGGAAAGAAACCAATAGATTTTGCTGTTACGGAAGATATACAGAAAATATTATATAGACAACCAGAGCCTTGTTTTACTCAAGGTGAGTTCAACTTCTCTAAATCAGTTAATTAACTAATAGAAGTAAAATTAATATGCTAGTGAAAGTCAAAAGACCTTGACATCATTCCACTTGACCCAACAGTAAATGAGAAAAGATTATCTTGGAAAGATAGATACCAAGATGTTTGGCCAAGGACCAGCAAGATGTTTGGCCAAGGACCAGCAAGATGTTTGGCCAAGGACCAGCAAGATGTTTGGCCAAGGACCAGCAAGATGTTTGGCCAAGGACCAGCAAGATGTTTGGCCAAGGACTGGCTGGAGCGGGTCCTCTTTGAACAAAAGTTGATATTGTTGTCTGATTTCCAGAATACTTTTGTTTCATCTAAAGATTATATTTTGATGAATTTGCAACTTTCTTTGAATGACAATAGAATTGCAATGAAGAAAAAATGTTCTGCAAAATGTAAACTCCATTTCATTTCTGATTTCAGATAGCCAGTTGTCAAGTCAGTCATCGTTTGATTCTAGATTAGATTGGCTACCTACTGATTGTTTATATGATGAGATACTAGCAGACCATTCTAGAATCGCCAGTCGAAACGACTGTATCTTATTTGTCACTCTAATAACTACATTAGTCAATCAATATATTTCATCATATAACTTGTGTACATTACAAGAAACTCTTAAGAAATGTACCTTAAACTCTAAGTCATTGGAATGTCGTAAAGTGTTACAAGGAAGACAGCAGAATGGAAACAATATTGAAATCTCTAAACCTCGGGTAGATGGAAAGAAGGTGATGAAAGTTTTAGATCTAAATGAAGATCAGTTAAAAAGTGGTTATAAAGATTTAAAGGTTTTAAGCAAGATTAAAAAATATTTAATGATTTTTGAAAGACATCTAAAACGAATTACAACTGAAGAGGATTTTGTGTTTGTTTTACCTAAATTAAACTTTTTGAAGATGTCTATGTCTTCTATAATGTCATAGTTCATTTCTAAGTATATTTCACTCCTCCTACATTCAATACTAAGTTACTCTTTGAATATATACAACTTTTTATGTTCCCATATATATATATGAATCTAAAGATCTGGGCATGTTTAGAAATTTCTGCCCAGGACTTTCATTGGCTGTATTCGCTAATGTACACTACACATCTACATCTAAATCTGAATCTAACCAAGATAGCCAGATATTATTTTGTGCTAATAGAATATTGTTTTAACAAATGTACATAGCATGAATGATTTCCAAAAGTTTGATATTTTTCTAGTCATTAGTTTTACTTTCTATATCAAATGAGATAAGAAAGCTCTGTTTTCTCAAAATATCTCAGGATCAATATTACTTGTGACCTTGTGTGAAATTGGAATTATATGATATTCTTGTGATAAAAAAAAGTGATAGACATTTCAAGAAATAATGTTATTATGTTTTAAGTCTATAAAAATAGATGAGTATTACTTAATAAATTATATTCATATAAAACTTGTTTTCATTTTAACTTGGAGAGAGATGTTGGGATGGGGAGTCTCATTTCCAATCATGATGTATGGATGTACATTATTTTTGCTCTGGTCTCTCCCTCAAATAGTCAAACCTGTGTACTACAGGCTGTGCACGTTAAAGATCCCTTGACAGTTGGAAATCGGAAAAGAGCATGCTAATGCCGCTGTCCTGGCAAAATTTCCCTCATTGCACCCTGCATGGCATTGCCCGTCTTCATTAGCCCACATGGTGCAGAAAAGGGGGGACGTTAAACTCCATTCATTTCATTTCCCTCAAATAGTCATTTTCTTTGGTCCAAGCTTTGTCATTGCTTCTCAGGTTGGAGTGGTTTATTTGGAAAAGTTACTTGAGGCTGAGATGAGACTCCAAATGCAGTAGGCAGATTAAAGTCATAAAGATCAAATGACATGTAGAGATCAGCTAATGATACTGTCCTCGCAAACCACAACCACAGACTCAAATGTCCCAAAAATCAAAATCACATCTGATTCATTTTGGAGCTTTAACCAGACATAACTGGCAAATACAGCCTAGCTGGAAACATATAATGTGTGTATAACTCCATTCATTTCATTCCATTTTGGATTAACCAAAAACTTGATCTGCTGTAAAGAAATATTTGTATGATATGTGAAGCATTTTGTCATCCATCAGTTTAAATTGAATTAAAGAGAAGGGCAGAACATCTTATATTGTACCTTTTTGTCTTCTGTTCTATTGGAAAGATGAAGTCAAGCTCAACCAGTCCTAAAGACATAAAAAACAATAAGTCTTGGCAATCTCTACTTTTGTGTACAAACATTATTTGATAAACTCTTGTAAAAAGTGACTCAAATGTGCCATTTGCTATGAGATCTAAATATATTTTATCCACCAATTTAAAAGTGTGCAAGTCTTATTAAGAAATCTTTGGTATTTGTAAGTATGTTTTGTTATTTGGAAATGTGTTTTTTACACCCACCTTAATCTACAACTGCTCAGATCCTGAGAAATGAGTTGGATTCAGTGTTTTAAACCTTTTGTCTATAAATACTTTGTTTCACCCTGTACCATTGTGTATCCACTAAAATCCTTGATTAAGGATGAGATCAGTTCAGGGTATAAAGAAGTTGCCAGGAAGTTTCTAAAGGTGAAATTCACAGCTTGGGTTTTAAAGTTTTGGGGTGAGTTGAAATCAGTATAGGCTAGAGACCTCTCTCCACATGCATTGTTGTTCATTGTGACAGCAGACATCCCAGGGTTCACATCTTCTTGTTGCCATGTCAGCAAAATAACAGAAAAATTGAATGGTGGAAAATGTTTTGAAAAGTAAGTTTTATTTCAATGTTTGTTCTGGAGATCATTTAAAAAATGTTAATTATGGTTTTCTATCTGCTTCTGGTTATTTCAGTATTATTTTAATTCCATTTCATATATGAATTTATGGTGACTTGATCAAAATACAGAATGTTGATATTTTATTTTTGAATTGAATGAGAATAAATGAATCCATAAGATACTATATCACCTCTTTAAATATTCACCAACAAACCAGTTAAATGGACCAAAGATTTCGATTTGATTCATTGGGTCTCTAAAAATTCTGGCATTTGAATAGAAAATAAGTGTGATCACTTTACTTATACAGCTATCCTGATAATGGATTCTGTATATATCTGAAACACTTAAGCTTTTCTGAAATAAAACTAATAAATTATAAACAATGAATTTTGAAATGTTTTTAACTTTATTTTTTGTAGATTATGCTGTATTAACTACAAGAAGTTCAACTGTTATGAGAGGTAGGTTTAAATTTAATTTATTATATTGATTGATATATCATAATACTTTAATAATATAATACAGAAATAAAATTACATGATGAAAAAAAAGATAATGTTATAATATAAAAGGTATAAAGCTATAGAAATGATAATGTTATAATATATGATAGTAATATAGCTGATGGAATGATAATGTTATAATACATGATAGCATAAAACCGAAGGAATGATAATGTTATAATATATAATATTGATAAAACCGAGTAACCGATGGAATGATAATGTTATGATATATAATAGTAATATAGCTGAAGGAATGATAATGTATAATATATGATAGTAATAAAACTGAAGGTATGATAATGTTATAGTATATGATATTAATAAAACTGAAGGAATGATAATGTTATAATATATGATATTAATAAAACTGAAGGAATGATAATGTTATAATATATGATATTAATAAAACTGAAGGAATGATAATGTTATGCTATATGATATTAATAAAACTGAAGGTATGATAATGTTATAATATATGATATTTATAAAACTGAAGGAATGATAATGTTATAATATATGATAGCATAAAACCGAAGGAATGATAATGTTATAATATATCATAGTAATATAGCTGAAAGAATGATAATGTTTAAATATATGATAGGATTTATGAATGATAATGTTATAATATGATAAAAGCTGAAGGAATGATAATGTAATGATATGACAGAAATAAAGCTCAAGGAATGATAATAATAATTAGAACAAAAGCATGATGTTGTAAAAATAAAGGAAAGTAATAATCTCAAAAGGATGATAATATAATATAATAGGATAAGGTATGATAGAATATCAACTTTTATTCTTGATCTTTGCCATTTTTTTCTTGCTCGTACAGAATTATAGAAATATAGCTGAAAGATTTATAATAATTCTATAATATCTGATAGGAATATTTAAGTTATGGGTAAATTTTCTTCATTTGGAAAAGTGATGATTGCTTCATAAGAACAACTAGTATGAAAATAGGACTGCAGAATGAATATTTAGATTGGAACAGAGTGAGATGATCTATGGTTTCAGAATAAACAGTAAGAGAGTAATCATATTGGTTGTTACATTCTGTTAATTACAAATCTTCTTCCCATTCTTAACGGGATCTTCCCATGGTTACGATAAGATCCTATCCACTAGAAGGATAAAAAGCATAATCTCTCCGAAGCGTAACAGGGCTCCTCGTGAAACTTCCTAGAGTACGGAACACTTGAATCTGAGAATCTATTGGCTTTATTTATGCTGCCTGTTGAACTTTACAGTAAATGTGTGAATGTGTTTTTATACAAGTCAATCTCAAAATCCTATTTTGTTTGAAGAGAAAAGATGACTTCTTTAGGCTAAAGGGAAGTCTG